GGGGGGGGGGGGGCAGCCACCTGGAGGAGAGAGTGGGGCCTGGTTTTGATCCAAACATCCAGGCTCTGGACAATTGCAGGGATAGCGACTTGCAAACCTAAACCCAAGAAGTGATAATACACTCTGCCTATCAGTGACCTGGCTTTTGATTAGAAATAAGGCCATAGCGGGAAAGCAAGCCATCAGTAAAGGCCACCCTGAGTTTGTGTGTGTCTGTGTGTGTGAAGGCTACTCTGTGTGTATGTGTGTATACACGTACTACATGAGACAGGCAGGGAGCCTGGACCTACCCCTGGTGCAAGCTTATGTACCATGCACGGTTCCTGCCAAGGATGCCCCATCACCATGGTCGCACCCCAGGCAAAACTAAGCAGACTCAAACCAGAAACAAACCAACCTCTTAGCCAACAAGCACCTCTACACAAGTCCTAAGAGAGGTTGGAGAAATCACAAATGGAAATTTCCAGAATGTCCCCACCCCTTCGAATTGCTGGCTCTGGGTCACACACAGAGGCACCATGGACATGCAAAGGGGTGCTCAGGTGAGGATACAGAGCTCATCACAGGATTCTCAGGTAGCTGGATTCAGAGCAGCCCTGGAACACAAAACATGAGGCGATTCTACAGCAGTGGCAGGAGCACACAACCCGGACCATTTACAGGCAATAAATGGGTTGCTCGTGTATCCTCTTTGGGCCGCAAATTCATGTACCAAAGGAAAGAATATCTGTCCTTTCTACCCATCAGGCTGGTTTAAGAATCAAATGAGATACATTTTTGAACTGATGTTTTGGCTTTAAAATGTGAAGAATTGATAATAAATCTGTTTTTAATATAAACATGTCTTCCCAAACGCTTTGTATGAAATCAGCTCCAGAGAGTTGGATGTACCGTGTTTGCCCTGAGGTTTGGGGGCCCTGCACACCACTCCATACCATGACTGCGAAGGCCCAGACCACTTGTTGTGCGTACAAGTAGGTCTGGGCTGTCCCCTCTGGCTAATGCTAAAACGGGTGGTAGGTCCTCCTGAGACTGTGTGTGGATAATGCACGAGTAGGTAGTCAAGATCCTCCCTCCCTCCCCTCCCTCCCTCCTTCCCTCCCACCAGGGCTCCCCAACAGAGGCCAGTGGGAAACTCTTCAGTGTATGTAGATCCTGTCGGAGACCGCTCCGGGCAAGTGGGTCATGATCTGCATTCGAAGCCACCAGTAGTAGTCCATGGGGTGGTAGCGAGTGTAGGGCGTGGCAGAGGTCAGAGCGTGGGTGACGGCCTTGATGACAGGGGATGTGTCTGTGGAGCCACTGTTACAGTAGGTCTCCATCTTGGCGATCTTCTCATCAAAGTACTTCCTGCCATAGTCCTTGCGCACCACCTCAGGCAGTTCTTCCCACATCTTATTGGCAATGGCCTGGATCCGCTCAGGGCTATAGAGGCTGGTGGCAGCAATGAAGTTGCCAGGCTCCACCACACTGACCTTCACGCCCAGCGGGTACATCTCGTAGCGCAGGCAGTCAGAGAAAGCCTCCACCCCGAACTTGGTGATGCAATATGGGGAGCGGGCTGGGTTGGCCATGCGGCCCAGCATGCTGCTGATGTTGACAATGCGACCTACAGAGGGAGACGGCAAACACCTGCTCAGGAGCACTGCCTGGTGGGGCAGAGGGCCGGGGGCCCGGCATGTTTCCAGAGGCCTGGCTGCAACTGGCTTCCTGGCCCTGACACCTGTTTTGCTGCCTGTCAGGCTGGGGCCCGGACTTCTGAACCACCCAGGGTCAAGGGGCCTTCTCGTTTATAGTCAGCTCAGGCCCACATGTCAGGATGAACGTCCCTGATATTTCCCAGACAGCTGACTGTGCCGGGAAGGACACGGGAAGAGCAAAGAGCAGGCTGCATACGAGGAAGGCACACAGAATGGGCAAATTTCTATCACCTGCCAGGGCTCCAGCTGCAAGCAGGCAGGGCCAGGGTTCTGCACCTGATTTCAGGGCTAGGCCATGTGGACAGGGTCTCCGGCACCGGAAGAGAATGGCGACCTCAAGAGGCTTTCCCACAGACCCAGCCTTGGGTAGTGGGATACAGGTGGAGCTGATCCAAGTAAGCCCAAGCAGACCTGGGACCTGCTTGCCCTGGGTGTGCACTCAGCAACTTAAGGCACAGCCTCATCCTGGACACTGTGGGGAGGGCAACTTTCAGAAACTTCTAAGCTGGAAGTCACTGAAGGGTTGGGGTTTTCTTCTAAAATCCTACAGCTGCTCTCTGGGTTCATCCTATCACTGCCGAAACTTTGGGATAGACTGTATGGATTGTGCCCTTTTTTCCATTATTGTTTGCTATCTAGGGAGAAAATATGAATCAGTCACTTCCTAACCAACTGACACGGTTTGAGTGTTTTGTCTGGTTCCAGATTTCTAATCCTGACTGTTACTATTACTGTATTTTACTTACAACCACAATCATCTTATTTTTTAACTGTGGCACAGTAACTCGTAGAACAGATATACCAAAATTTACTTAACCACACCTCTGTTGATAGTTGCTGTGCACACACAGCTCTGTGCAAAAGGGTGGTTATTTCTTTAGATTAGGTCCCGAGAGTGGGATTATTGCTGTTAATTTTTCAGCCTTTGAGACTGCTGACCTCTTAGCGGCCCTTCTTCCTGAGAATCACACATCCTTTTCCATCTGCCTGGCCATGGCACCTCCACTTACCACCATCCACAAGACCTGCACAGCCCCTGAGAGTCAGGTGCTCAGCCTCACCGGGGAACGGATGCTGGATCTGCTGAGACCAAGTTCCATACTAAGCAAAGAAGAAAAGGTGGGGCAAGAGGAAGATCCCTTTCCAACTCACCTTTGGCCCTTCGGATGAGGGGCAGAAAGGATTTTGTCATCCGCACCGTGCCCCAGAGGTTCACTTCTGCCACCTCCTTGTAGGTCTCCATGCTGGTGAACTCCACCTCTCCGAAAGTCGAGATGCCCGCGTTGTTGACCAGGCCCCACATGCCTGGACATGATGGGACAGAACTGCAGTCACCACCTAGCCTTGGCCTCAGACCTCACCATCAGCCTGCAGCCCATCCCCCTCCCTGCTCTTGTCCCTTTCCCCCCAAACTTGCCACTTCCTATCCAAGGCTCTTGGGACACTTTCTAGAGTCACCAAGAATAACAGGAGACCAAGAGGACGAAAGTGCTGGCTGTGACACTCCCTTAAGTCTAAAAGGTCCAATCATCATCTTGCTTCTACCTGCATTGACTCTCTGGGCCCCACCATGACCCAGCCCTGCCAGGTGCCCTCAGTCCTGAGTCCCACATCGACTAACTCGTTTCCACTCTGCATCATGCAGTCACATCCTCGCACCCTGCACCCCGCACTGAGTATTCATCCCTGCCTCTGCAACTTCACCTGAATTCACCCTCCTGCCGGAAGCCAGGAGAACCACAGGAGTCTTCCAGGTCAAGCCTTCTCTGGAGGTCAAGGGAGGGACCCGGCCTCCAAGGTCACATAGCAGTGAGAGGCTCAGCTAAGGCTTGACCTCAGGCAGAGCCCCAGTCCTACTCCACCCTGAGACCCTTCTGATCATTACTGCATTGTCTGATCTCCCCTCTGTGAACCACGCACTATTTGCTGGTTACCACTGGTAAGCCCCAGTGTATACATACACCTGGCCTTTGCGGGTAGAGAACCCCCCTCAGCCTTGTGTGGTCCCAGGTGGAGTACGGAATCGGGGCAAATGTACACTCTGAGTATACTTGGGTTGACTGTTTCCGGCAAGACCAGCTAGGGGAGAGCTGGTTTCTGTAGACTCAGTGAACACTGGTGCTGGAAGGATCCTTGGAGCTCTGACGACTACTTTTACAGCCAGGGAAGCAGAGGCCCCGAGGAGAAGGGAATGGCTTCAGGGTGCCCCAGAAGTCAGAGGCAGAGCTGAACTGGGGAGAGTGGCACCGAGGAGGCGGCCTTGATTTGCAGGGCCCTCTGAGTTCTGTTTTTGGGGGGCCAGGGCTAGATGGGCTAGAGCCTCAGGGCAGAGCTGTCCTCCAGGGCCTGTCCTCCTGCTGCCTGTGGGAACCCTGGCCCTGCTTCACTTTCCAAGTTAATCATGGAAATGAGTTTGTGTAAATGACAGAGTGATTGGTCTCTCGCTGCTTTTCTTCCGTGTTACCCAAATTAAAGCTTCAGCTGACCTCTGGTGCCTTCTCCTTCAATTACAGAGAATTAAGGACATTTATTAAGAGAGGAAATTGCTGGTTAACGAAGTGCTCATGAAGCTCTCACTCCCACTCCCCACAGCGGCTGAGCTGACGCCTCAGGCTCTCAGGTCTCACCAGTGACCTCGCAGTGACGCAGCCACTACAACCCCCATCCTGCAGACCTCCCCGGGAAGTCTTCACCCCTCTCTTCTTCCCAGGAAGGGCAGGAGGCCTCCCGCCACCTGACAAGGCTGACACTTCACCCTCCACCTTCCAAACCATAAGCCATCACTCCTTGTCCCTTTTTTATGCAACCTCAACCCTTCCCTTGCCCCTGACCCCCTCCCTTCAGCCTTATACCCATTAGATGCTCAATAAATGTTTGTCAGATGAGTGCATGTCTACAAATACCATGTCTCAACACTCTAAAGAAACTTCTCTTAACCATGCTACCTCCTCACACCGCTGTCTGCTCTCCTTCCCTCCACGGCCCATTTCTCTGCTCCCCTGGGCCCCAGCCCTGCTGCTGCTCCGTGGGGTCTGTGGTGCTACCTGCTGAGGATGTCACTGTCCCCCCTCATCCCTCCCTCCCATCTTCACTCCCTTCAACCTCCCACAGTATGAGCACGACTCATGGTGCCTGACATTCACTCCTCCCTTGGCTTTAATGATACCCAAACACTCCTCCATCCTCCTTGACACCCTTCTTCTACCTGCCCCCTAAATACAGGTGTCCACCAATGTCCTGTCCTACACCACCTTCTCTCAAATTACACTTGGTGCTCAGGCAGCCTCGTCTTCTTTATGTTCATGGAAATTTCCAGCTGCTTTGTGTTTGATTCACATAGGACAGTATCACTCTTAAAATGCATACAGGGATTTTTTTTTTTTCCCAACTAAAAACTAATTACATCTGACACTGATATCCAAAAAAGTGTAATTGAACTTGACCTGTGGAAGCACATTGCTCCTGGATTACAGCTCTGCTGACTTGATAAGCAGTAACAGTTTGCGGACCTAGGAGCTCTCTGGAGTCCTCAGCCAACATTCCAAACCCACTCACAGTGAACATTCCTGCTGTTTTACTGCGACAGTCCCGTCACATCACCGCCTCTGCATCAAGGGTTCCCATGTACCCCTTGCACTCATGGCTCTCTCCTAACCCCGGTCTCCTCCTCCTGATGGGCATTTTCACCTCAATGCTCCCCAGGGCCCCAGCACCCCCGACCCACAGCAACACGTCACTCTCCAGCTGCTCCAGCCCGCACCTCCTCTTTGCTAACAGCCTCACTTTCATCTGGTTCCTCGCTTCTCCCCCCATCTATGAGTACTGATCAAGAGTATCAGTTGCTATTACTGATCAGTTGATACTATTGATCAAGATCAAAAGGACAGCTGCCAGCCCCTGAATAAGCACTTTGCATGCATTCATTCAGATACTAAGTTGTCCCAGGTCTGGATGAGGCAACTGAGGCTCAGGGAGGTTAAGTGCCCTGCTCAATGTCACCCAGCTAACAGGTAGACAGGATAGAAAACACAGCCCTCATGCTCAACTCTGCGCTGCTGTTGGCTTCCTCTGCTGTCACAGAATCGGTGTCTTCTTTCCTCTTTCCACAGCGTTACTCTGGGTCCTGGTGGCCTCCCTCCAGTATCATTGGAGAAGACTCTCCCAGGTCTCCTTGTCACAGCCTCTGTCCTCCACCTCCATCCGGATAGGCCGGTCAGCCAGACTGTCCTCTATCAGTCACTTCCCCCTCTGATAATTCCCTTCCAGAGGGGGTATGTGAGGCCTCCTTTGCCAGGCTTCTTGTTCTGCCCTCTGGAAGCCTGAGCCACCTACGCTCCTGCCTCATGCTCCACCCCGCCCTGCTGCTCCCTGGCTCCCCTGGCTCTGCTCAGTGCCCCGTCCCTCAGCCGGAGATGAGAGCAGCTTTTGCTGACTTTCTGCCCATGGTGCTGTGGCAGTCAGATCTAGGTGTGAGCACTGGATCACTCACACGCACTTCTCCCACTTCACAGATGGGCAAGCTGAGGCCCACTCAGAGGAACATACAAGCCTAAGGTCACACTTCTAGTAATAGATGAAGCCCACGATAACTCCAGTCTTCTCACTCCCAGACTGCGGGAGTCCCAGATGGAGGACAGGGTCTTCTCTATCTGCGGCATAATGTCCCCGGTGCTGTAACTGTTCCAAATAGGTCCTGCCGTGAAGCCACCAACTTACGCTTGGCTGGTGTCGCACCACAAACTCCTCCTGCCAGGTCAAACCCTTACTGGTGCTCGGCACACTACCAAGCATACAGCAGGTACTCAATAAGTATCTATGCACTGTGAGGTTAAGTGATGGTTGCAAGATCGGGCCTGCCGGTTGGCTCACTGACTTAGCCTTTCCCTGGGGTGCAGGTGGGCAGTGCTGGTTACAGGCTCCAGGTGTCTATGCAGTCACTCAAGAGTTCTGCTGGCAGATGGCTCACCTGCCCTGATCACACAATCCCCTTCATCTCACCCCCCTGAGCCTGGCTCCCGTGGCTTTGACAGATACTGTTCCACGGAGCCAACGTGAAGGGCACCAAACTCCTCATCAAAATGTACGCTCCACTTGTCCCGGTTAGGATCCTGTCTGGGTGGTGAGTTGGAAGCAGCCACCCACTTAGGAACCGCAGGCTGATCTGAAAGCCCCAGAGGGCGCCACCTGGAGCTCAAGGACAGCATTGCCAGAGAAGGGGAGAATTGCAGCGGCTTTACCAGGAAAAAAATGGCCCTTGGGGTAGGGGTGGGGGCCACAGGGAAGGAAGAGAGATGGAGGGGGAAGTAGGGAGAGAGAGAGAGAGAGACCTGGACAACCACATGTCTGACAGATTTATTACCTTTTTCAGACCGAAAAATCTTCAAATCTTTTTCCAGAAAATGCAGTATTGGTTAAGTAAGGTCATGGTGTGGTTTATCAGCCCTCACTGAAATGCGTCATGAGGGAAAATGCAGTAGGGAAAAGTTTACGCATCGAGGCGGTACTAGGCTTTGAGCTCAATGTGGCTCCGGGTCTACCCTGCCTTGCCTGTTAAGCTAAACGGCCAGACTAATACAGGGAACTGAAACTGTCCTGCCCTGGTGGCAGGGGACAAAGATCAGGATCCTGGGCAGCCCCCAGCTCTGGTGCAGCCCCACTCTGTGCTCAGGTCTACAGTGATGATTTCTTTCTGTGGGCATTTTAAATCACCACAAACCCTCAGGCTGCAATGAAGTGGCTTTATGGTGCTGAATGCAGCTGTTTTCCTGCCTAATCGCTTATGAAGGCAACATCCTGGCAGTCGGGGAAGGTGGGCATGAGGAGGATTTACCACTGGGGAGGGGTGAGGCAGGCTGTTCCTCTCAAGCTGATAATCATCCCAGTGGGTATCCTGCCTTTTCTCAATGGGACAGGAGCCCTGGCTTTGCCTGCTAATTATTAAACAGATGTTCAGTGAGTGAAGGAACTCACAGGCCTCTCCTCAGAAAGCAGAGAGACCTGGCCATGGCCTGCCTTGGGGTGGGGGCAGCACTGAGCTGACAAGGTGACACATCAGCGACAGGCTGGCAGGCCAAGCAACAGCTTCTCCGATAGCCACACAGCACAGGAGTTTCTGAGGCAGCTTCTGGCCTCAGCATCTCCACCTGCCTGATAAATGCTCAACGGGGCCCAGCACAGGCCCTGGTGCCCTCCCCTCCTCCCTACTAGTGCTTGAAGTCACCATTCAGGAGAGCTGCCCCCACCCCATTCTGTGGAAAAGCAGAGAACCGAATGAGGTTCTCTTTCTGCATGGTCTACCAGGAAACTCAAAGGTAAATGTCTTAGGGGCGCCTGGGTGGCTCAGTCGGCTGAACGTCCGGCTTCGGCTCAGGTCATGATCTCATAGTTCGTGAGTTCGAGCCCC